GCTTCACAAACACCATGTCACTGCATGGGCCAAAAGGAGAGCTGCTGCCATAAAACCAGCCTCAGCAAACTCACAGACAGCTGGGAGTGCTGGATGGGGAAAGACCCCTGGAGAACCCTGTCCATCCCTCTGACACCAGCTCACTGGTACTCCTGGGGCCAGATATCCATGCTCCCACACCCATCCAGCAGAGACACCTCAGAAGAGAGGAAAACAGTCACTTAAATGGGGACAAATCCAGCCCGGATGATTCCCAGCCTGGAAAGGAGAGGGGATGAAGTAGTCCTGCTATGACCTGCCCACAGATCAAGCAGCACTCAGGAGTACCTGCTCAGCTCTCCTCCTACTCTCCCACAACAAATCCATCCCCGCAAAAGGCTCAGCTGACATTAACAAGGCCATTCATTAGCCAGCCAGGGCCTAGGTTTGACTCAGGGCTGCCTCAACACTGCACAGGCTTCCTGGTTAGTGCTACAGGGTTGTGGATTGGTGTCCACAGCATCCCTGCCAAGCTGCAAGAAGCAGGAGAGAGCAGCCTGGGCAGATGCACAGGTCTCTAGTGATGTGCAGCATCCTTCCTGCAGCATGAGATGGCTCCTGCTTCCAGGCTGCTATGCAAGGAGAAACAGGGGACACACACAGCAGGGTTTTGGGCTGCTCACTCCAGCACTTGATTTCTGAAGAAGCAACACAGCTCCATCTCACCAGGCCTTCCTCCTCCAGCCCTGAGCAAGGAAGCGGCAGAGCTGTCCTGGCACACAGCAACCTTGCTGGCAGGAAACCCTGCCCTGAGCCTGGAGAGAATGGACTGGGACAGAGATGAGGCAGAACGAAACTTGAATTAGAAGAAGAATCACAGAGCTCCTCAGCTTTAACAGCAAACTGGAATGAGTTACTTTCTTATGTGAATTCTCTTGGCTATGCTTTCTTTTTTCTAGGCTTCTCATTTTTTCCTATTCAGTGTCTAAGCTGAAGTATTACCAGTTTGCATGGCAAAAACTTATTGGACTGGGACAGAGATGAGGCAGAACGAAACTTGAATTAGAAGAAGAATCACAGAGCTCCTCAGCTTTAACAGCAAACTGGAATGAGTTACTTTCTTATGTGAATTCTCTTGGCTATGCTTTCTTTTTTCTAGGCTTCTCATTTTTTCCTATTCAGTGTCTAAGCTGAAGTATTACCAGTTTGCATGGCAAAAACTTATTTTTAATGATTTTATCAGCAAGAAAAAGGGGAGTGAAACATCCACGAATACTTTTTTTCCCCTCAAAGTTTTTGCTTTCCATTAAAATAAACATTTTTCCCCCTCAATATCAGTTTTGCAAGGCTCTTTCAATGGTGCTAATCAATAGGATTGGGGCTTTTTTATTATTATTATCTTGGCAGAGCCTCTTTTTCAAAAGCTTAACCGAAGACATCATTGCTGTCCCATAGTTGCTCCTCTCCTGGTCGGTGGATGCGTGACAGCCCTGCCCAGCCCAGCAGGTACCTGCTCTCCGTCCCCTCTGCTGCTGCCGAGGGGCAGCCGGGGCTGCAGACCAGCTGAGACCATTCAGCACCTCCACAAGGACAGTCCTTGGCCAAAGTGCTGCACTGGATTCCTCCGAAGGAGCAGGCAGGGGGCAAGGAAGGGACACCCCCTGCTTGCTGCCCTGGGGACGTGATCAAATTCCCTTGTCCTGTGGCCACCGGCTGCCCCGATGCCCTCGCCGCGGGGCCGGGGCCGCTGA